GTCTGAAAACGGCAGGAAGTAACATGGCGTTGGTGCCAATCGATCCTCCCACCGAATAAGAGTTCTTACGGTGACTCCTGCAGAACTCTGAATTGCTGCATTCGGAGGGTAAATCATATACAGTATCGTGGCCATCGAAAGTCAACCCCCGGAATCGATCAGTCACCGCCAGACCGGTTATCCCAACCAAGCTAGATACTGCTCATATCGATCGCAAGTCCCACGACATTTCCCAGCAAGGGGAGGAAAGTAAAGCCAAACGGCCAGCATCGGGGTGGACTCGAAAAACCTACAGTACAGCGAGTGGACAAGCAGAATGAACTGGAGCCCGTCAGTGTGACCGACATTTGTGATAGCATCATGTGAGAACATCGATACCTCGGGGTTTCCCCCTCATTCCCCTGCGTCCAGGAACCACGAAGTCCACCAGTCAGAGAGAGAGGTGCAGGGAAGAGGTGCGCATGGCTGCAGTGTGACTATGCTCGGCCAGTGAGCATCGACCATGGCTGGTGAAGATGTGGAGATGAGGGAGCGAGAGATTTGGAGATGGACGCCTTGACCTCCCCGGGGATCGGATGGCGGCAGGCTGACCAACGCGGAGTTCTGGCCGTGCCTCTCTCTCTCTCTCTCTCTCTCTCTCTCTCTCTCCTCCCAGCTAACTATCTGGACTATTCTACTATCAGTAAGTTTATTATTATTCCCTGCTCAAGATCCCAGATCGTGTTCCACCGAAAGAAATGATCCGTCATCTCGCCAATGCAGGTACCAGGCAACAATAAATCCAGTCCAGTCCACTTTGCTTTTTGCTGCTGTTCTATTTTCGACTGTTCTTTCTTTGCGCCCGATCTTTGCCACAGGGGACTGACTGACTGACTGCCATCCAGACAATGCAGCGGTCGATCTGATGTTCTTGCAGAGTACTGAGACTGCTTAAGTAGTATACTGCACCATGTGTCTCACAGACAAGACATCAGTAGTAACCTGCACGAAGCGCAGACAGCTTCAAGTCGACGAATAAACAATCCAAGACACCGCTCCCACCTCGGTCAACAATGAACTATTGATAGTTACGGTCAGGGGTAGGGAGTAAGTAGTCTAGTAACCACGGGTTAGTCCAGGAACAACAATGGGCTTGGTTGTTTGCTAGTTTGATTGTTCATTTCCACCAGAGCCAAACTCCTCCGACCCATGGTTTTGCGAGACCCGACCCACCGACAATGTATAGAGCTGATCGGACTCACATGAACCAAAATAAAGCATAGTTACTGTAAAATCAAAGACACACTAGCTAATCGCTAGTAGATATCTACTGTTAAGGTTTCTCTTGAGCTAGACTAATACATAAATATCCTATAATCAACAGAAACCATTCTACTACTAATGCAACTCCATCACTAGTAATGATGTCTCAAGCTACAATGTAAATTAGCTTCGCTAATTTCTATTGCTGCATGATGTATTGCATATTCTATTGTCTACTAGATACAAAGTCAATGATGTAGGGAGATACTACTAAGTAAGCTGTAGATAACAGATAGTCCGAGAACTCCGATCGCGCCATTGCTCTCACTCATTGCGTTTCGCGAACTAAAGAATATTATCGCGGCTAAATTACTGCTTAGGAGAGCATAGTACCTTTATTTCATCGACATGCGTGGGAAACTCTCTGCTTACCCATTAGAAACTGTCTACTGATGCTTCCATCTCACCCCAAATACAATCTGGACTAAACAAAGAGCCAGTGGGATACTGGCACATGCAAAGGTACATATCTATATACAAGAACCATGCAACTATACTAACATATACAGAAAGATGAACAGTCTCTTTTATCTTTGACTTCATGAATCTCTAATCAGAAGCATTATTCCTCAGTGGCGTCTCCTCCATAGGAAAACTCTCCTCCGAAGGCACATGCCGATACGGCTGCGAGCGCTGGATTCTTCTCCTCCGAAGGACCCAAAATGCGCCCAGAAGAACTCCCGCGAAGGACGATACAACCAGGATGAAGATGAGAAGGTTTCCGAGGCCACGCACAACCTGGTACGCTTGAGACAGCGCCGCAAGGAGGTCCTTGGTGTCACCATTTGACAAGGCGGACGAGTGGTCCTCGCCCGTCTGGGCCTCCTTGTAAATGCTCGACGGGTTGATCGGGGAAGGAGCCTTCGATGAACCCACGAAGCCAGCGGCCTCCCAGTTATCGGGGACCTTGGTGCGATGCACGGCCGAGGTACCCATCACGTTGCCTTGGTGGTCGACAGCCGCAGCAGATACCCAGTCGAGGAACCCGTGGGCAACGAACATAGTCTCGAAGTCGGTCTTGGAGACGTTGCCGATCAGCACGGGAGCTCCGCCGTCATATGCCTGGGCGTAGAAGTTCCAGGCGGCTACGTCGGTCGCACCGTTCCAGCTGACATGGAAGATCGTGGCCAGGTCGTCTTCGGTCGTGCCGTATACAGATGCTACGAGATCGGGCGGCGCGCGAGGCCGGCCGGTGAACTCGTACTTGTATGCGCGGTAGGTCGAGAAGCGGTCCGATGCGAACTGGGCGGTCATTAGGACTTTTCCCTCGGGAGAGAATTCGCTCTGGTAGCCTGACTGGCTCCAACCAACGAATACGTTGCCGTTGGGGAGGAGCTGGGTATTGCCACGGAGTCGGGAGAGCTGGCCGTCAGGACGGTTGTAGCGTGCGATCAACCGGGCGGTCATCGGGTTGGCGGTCGTGTCCAGCTCGACAAATAGGGCTGAGGATATGATCTCGTCGGTGGTAATCTCGTCGGAGGCGTTATTTAGGAACGAAATGATATGGTGTGTACCGTTCGACGAGACGAATTTGACATCATGCTGCTTGGAGAAGACAAAGTCCTGGACGAAATTGGTTTCGCGCCCACCCAGTCGCCACATCACGCGGCCGTCTACGCCGGAAATCATATAGATGGTATCGGTGAAGCGCATCGAGATAATGTAGTCGCCGGCCTCATTCTTATCCACGGCATTCATATGCACAGAGTCGAATCCCCATTGTCCCATAGGCTCCTCCCAGGTGTGAAAGCGGTCGGTTTCATGCAAGCCCAGGTGATCGGATGAGTCCCATTCAAACAGCGGTGCACCAGTAGCCAAATCCAACTCTGCAAATCCACCCGTCAGGAAAAGCTTCTGTTCCCCGGGACGGCCCACATCAGCCATGTCCAGCATTTTCGACTGATAGACACAGGCCAGGGCTGTCTTGCCTCCATCCATGACTTTAAACTCGTGGACATTGAATTCCCAGGTATCGTTAAGCTTGAAGACCTCGGACTCCACCTCATAGTGCTGACTCAAAATAAGACCGCTTCCGGGGACAGTTTCATCGAAGGACCGTTGCGCGATCAGGGACAAGTGAGGCTTATCGTCGATATTGTGCACCGCTTTAAAGTCGAAGGTGTTTCGGTTATCGAACATGGGGGATCCGGCCCAGATGAGAACCTGATCGCCGCGATTGAGTTAGTCATGTTGACGAATCAACCGATTCAAAAACTCAGTGGAGAGGGTAGAGTCTTACGCCATCTTGGTCATAGATATAGGGTCCGACCTGATACTGCAGATACTTACGAGTCGGAGATTCGGGATCGATCATGCCGTAGGGAGCAACAAACCAGTAACCCGGTGCGGCGCGGTCCCGGTCATGGTGAGTGATTTCCCATTTCAAGGCCCGAACTTCGGGGAGCTGAGGCGATCATCATGAGCACGAGAGCAACACATGCATTACTTAGCCGTTGAGAAAAAAAAGAAATGGTCAACTTACTGTCACAAAGGACATGAGATCCTCATCGTGGCGCTGCGCAACAGTGAATTGCGAAAAGAGCAAGGCGAACAGACACCAAATCATGGTTCGGGCGGAGAGTGATGATGAACCCTCCCAGCAAAGCAAAAACCCAACGAGCGGAGGAGGGACAGGCCAGGGGCGGAGAAGGAAAGAGGAAAGGGAGGAGGAAGGTGAGAAGAGAGAAAAATGAAAACCCGATCAGCCATGGCGCAGGAAATCATGAAAGGCTGATTTGCAGATACACGCGCCTTATACGGATTGGAGAGTCCCAACCCACGCCGCGGGCCCAGATAGATAGTCTCGTTATTCGACTGGGCACCCCGAAGATCGGCATAGGTCTCCAAACACCCGTCCAAACACACCCACCACTCTTGCCCTCGGTCAAAACTCAGGAGAGGGAAGATGGAACCAGGAGAGAGAGCGCTAAACATGTTCGCACCCACGCAATCTTGGGACGGGCGATCCAATAGGGCAGAGCTGACTGACGGGCTAATGTTGCCTGGCAATGCCGCGCCCACCACTAGAGAGGCCCGGTGGCTTGGGTTTGATCTCGGCGCAGTGGACAAGAATAGCATGGCTGGACTGCTTACGTAGGCCGGCTTGCCCTGTAAGGAGTCAACTATGGGACCATGTTCTGTAGGTTGATAATTAGGCAGATAGAGAGAAATGGGAGTTGGACTATATTCCGAGTCATTAAGGGTCTGGGAGAGGGAGGGTGTGACAGGGTCTTCTTCATTCCTCATCTTCTTCCCGCTCGGTCGCGGCGGGTCCGCTGCTTGGCTTGTCTGTCCCGCCTCTCCCCTTTAGATCTCAGATCCATCCAGGAGGAATAAAAACTCTCTCAATTCCAATACATAATACTAAAATAGTAGGAAGATACTTTATGATGGTCTTAGAAAAATACTCAGGGATCTCCGAAAACATCGAATATCATTGGCTAACTATCCTAAATTCAGAGTCAGCTCCTGATGTGTCGGGGCTAACCAAAATCTGACCCTGTTGAGGGACTCTGGAGATGCTGCTAGACTCTCTAGCCGGTGGTTAGGGGGTCACTAGTCAGTTTGGGCCCCAAACCCACGGTGGATTCGCTAATCTTTCAGTCCAGCCGCATCTCTCGCCTCACACCCCCATTTCAAGAAGAGTAGTAGGTATTGTGATTTTCTTGATACTTGATGGTAAACATTCTAGCCTCCAATACCTCCCGAATGGACATTCACCGCATCGTTATCATTTGCATCGTCATCATTATCTTGATCATCATGGTCGTTATCATCAGTTGAAACACTCATGCCAAAATATCATCATACTGTTCCTCTAGCCATCTTGAATTTCAAATGGCGTTGACACCCCCTCTCTTTCCTCTCTGTGAGTGGTGAGTGAGTGAATGTGAGAGAGATCTAGTAATCCCGAGTAGCCAAGACTTTCGAACTGCGCGCCAACTCGATACAAAACTCCGCCCAGTCGCTCTCACCGCTGCTGGTCAACACCTCTTCCTTGATGGCCAATTCCAGGCGCTGCCCGTATCGCTGCTTGAAGTCATCCTTCACGCGCTCCAGGTGCCGCGGTTCCCAGTGCAGCCGGACCAGGCGCGAGATCAGTAGGTCTGACCGGTCCTTCCCCGGGCGGGACTCGCGAAGGGCTTGGTGGAGGAGCTGAGCATCGCGCATCGGCCGGTTGATGGCTCCATTGAGAATATGCGCAAGAGTCTCTCCCTAATCTCAGTTAGTCCATTGACAATGTTCGAAAATGATAACTCCTTCGGAAACATACCACCAGGTTTCGGGACTTGCTAATCATGGCTTTGGCAAAATTGTGGCCGTATCTCTTTTCATACGCACGGAGGACCTCTCGCAAATGCGAATCACTCCGCCGCACAATGATGTAGATCATGGGCGTTTCTCCCCCATGTTGTGTCATTAGTGCGGCATACAAGTTGTGCACGTCTTCATCCACCAGACGCATATCAATTGGGTCACGCTCGCTCTGTCGGCTCTCTTCCAGGACAAGGAGCACCGCCGTGCGGAATTTGTCTCCTTTTAACTCGGCCTTCATACACCTCTCCAGACTGTCTTTATATCGTGAATCTGAGAAGCCCTTCTTGATCTCGCGGATCTCTCGGTTAGTGCGACCAAACAGACATTCGATGAGGAGTTCACGCCTAGAGTTGCCCAGCTGGTAAAAGCAATTCGCCCAGAAGCCTTCGGATTCCCATCGACCAAGAGCGGTGGCGTGGCACGCCTTGCCAAAGGCGTCGACTCCAACCCTAAGTTTAATGAGCTTGGCGATGTTGATTCCCTTCCCATGCAGTTTGTTATGTCTTTTGAACTCGTCGCGGAGTTCCATGATTTCATCTGCGCTCAAACGCGGCAGTATGCGGATCAGGGCCTTTCTATCGGGATGCCGTGGCCGTTCCAGGGCATCGTGAAGCGCAGCGGCATCCGGACCCGCATCATAGAAAGACACGCGTTTCTGGCTGCGACTGGGGGTTCTCACCACGACATTCTCAAGTTCCCCAGAAGCACGGTGTTCGTACCGCACGCGGCTGCTCTCCCTCTTTCGGCTGCTCTCCCGCTTTGGGCGTTCGACTGTCAATGTCGTACGCTCCCGATCATCTTTGGATCTCTTCCGTCTATGTACCCTGAGTTCTTCATCCGAATCATACTCAAGAGGCTCCATATCGGAAATGTCGCCGTCCAGCCTGGGGGCAATGACGATCGGTGATGGCATAGGTGATATGCTCTGATACGTGCCTTTGTATGGTTCCAGCATTGGACTGACAGGCCTGCCGGTCGGGTCGGGGCCCTCGACCGCGAGGTTATTGACAGAAGATACGGAGCGGCTGTGAGGACGCGTGGTGGTACGAGGCGCTATTTCGACGTACTCCATCCTATTGCCCGAGCTGGTGGTAGGCACCTTAGAGAATTGAGGGTTAGCAGAATATTTGACATCGGCAACCTGTGACTGTTTGGCTGCAGTAGCTCCAGTTTTGGTGGAGAATTGGGGTGTTGTCGAGTATGCGACCGGCTTGGCTGCGCTATCTGCTGCGCTCTTAGAAGCATATTTAACATTTGGATCTATGTGCGCGTATTGGTACTGAGGTGGGGCAGCGTAGGGTGTCTTGACAGTCGTGTCAGTCGAAGCAGTGCGCTGATGTGCCGAAGCCGCATGAGTGTAGGCGTTGCCCCCAGGCATCGACAGTGGACGGCCATTAAACGATGAATAAGTCTCCTGCAAGCCCTGTGGAGTCACGTAGCGTACGGAGGAAGTAGTGGCGGCTGCTGTTGTAGCAGGTACAGAGGGCTCAGTGGTTGCAGGATACGGAAATGCCCCGGGCATGGATGGAGCTTGCGCCTGAGAAGTTGGCGGCACGAAGCCCGGTCGCTCACACTCTGGGACCGGTGCCCAGTTGGCCTGAGCTGTGGATGATGCAGGATAGCCACCGTAGGGGGAAGGCTCGGGACTGGCGAAATTACCTCTGATTTCTTCTCTCGAAGGGGTGTGAGAGTGCGACGGCCTGCTGCCGTGGGCTGCATCGTTATTAAGAGCCCCGGACATCATAGCAGGATCCTTGCGACGTGCAGAACCAAGCTTAGGCATATAACGCTTGAGACCTGAGATTCCGTATGTTTTGTTGTCGCGGCTCCCGGGAAGATCACCGTATGCAAGCGCATCATCATCGTCCGAACTCAGCGAGTCGAGCGAAGACTCACTTTCATAGTGAACAGATAGACGATGGCGTGAATTGCGCGGCCCGGCGTCACGCCTTGCCCCTTTGCTTTCTCCCGAATCGGATTGATAATAATGATCGCGGCCGAGTTCGGGTCGCAGATAGGCTTCCCGTCCATCAGACTGGAAATCGGGACCAGTAGCGCCATACCGCGAGCTAGTCCGATGAGCGCCACCAGGGCTTACACCTCTGCTGCGTGATCGAGCACGGAGCTTTCCATCATTGAGGTCAGAGGTGTAATAACTGCGGGGATCACCGGCGGACGGATCGCGATAATCGCGAGACTTGGAACGCTCGCGGATACGGCCGCTTGGGGACTTGGAACGGCCTCGCGACCATGGGTCGTCCACCTGGAGCGACATGGATCAAGGCTGGGGAATGAACCACCACGGGTAGGTGAAGTGCGACAAGTGTGACAGCCGATCGCCCACACAAGAGGAGCCAAGATATGGTGCAGACTAGGAACTAGCTTTGCACGGAGGACACAGTTCTCAGGTTACCGTTGAGAGCGTAGGTTAGCTTGATAAGCGTGAATGGAGACGGAAAAGAAGGGCGCAAGAAAGAAGGAAGAGAGGACTGGTAGAAGGAAGAGAGGAAGAGGAAGAAGAAATGAAGAAGAAAGAGTGGCACTGCTTGTGGGAGGAAGCGGCCAAGAGCAGCAGATGGTGGTTGTGTGGTGGGAGGGAGACACAGCAACTGATCATCGGCGGGATCACGTAGAGTTCAGCTGGGGAAATTGGCCCAGTCGGGGTTTCAAGCAAGCAGTTTATGTGTAGTGGGACTGCAGGATAAGGACACGGAGCTTTGTCATTGGTGTGCCGGGGCATCAGTGAATCAATCCTCAACTGAAAGATTCGCTACTGTACTTTCCCATTCCAATCCTTCATTCGAGGCAACCAACGCCCTCTGGAAGGAGCCGCACACTGTTCTGTGTAAGTGCACTGTACAGTATTAGTCCTCTGCAGCCTTGCGAGCGCAACGCCGGCCCACTGGGCGCGATATTAATGTGCGACAGATATCCACTGGTCTCACGAATGACGGCCGAGAAAGCTTGGGGTCCAGAATCCACATTCCTGCCGGCCAGACCGTGAGTCAAACCGCCCCTCTTTACGTCGCTCTAGCGCTCGTATACTCTCCGCCGGCAGCTGGACGAACCCCTCGCGCAACGAAGCGTCATTGGTCGTCTCGTACTCAGCTTGGCCGATCCCGCCATCTTTAGCCTGCAGGAAAGTCTTCCAAGGTGCAGCATCCTGGCATGGCGCTGAATTAGCTGGCCGGCGCTGTCCACCGGTTCTAAATCTACTGGTGATTCATTCAGATGACTGACCATCGGAAAATCAGGCAATCAATTTTTTTGATGCTTCCTGAATACGGAAGGACTGGCCTTCAGGGCTCCGACTAAGCTGGGAGTGGATGATCTGTTCTTCCTTCATAGGTAGATGATTGATCGACAGAACAGTTCATACAGATAAAGCTGAACAGTGCATAAGGCAAGCGGCGACGCCGTTGACAAATAAGAGCTCTTTCAACCTCTACAACAGCATCAGCCGGGGTTCCTGGCCAATGGACCAAAATAGGATGTCCGGGACACGAAGCATGGCCCAGCGACAAGGACCGAAGGATATCAAAGGCTGAATAGTGGCTCTTTTTGATCATGGCAAATGGCCGAAGAGAATATGGGAGAATACATGAAGATGGAAGATAAGATTTAACAACGGTCAGAAGGTTAAAGCGCGGGATAGGAGGCATAAAAGAAAAAGAGTAACTTGACCAACTCAGCCAGATGCTGTGTTGGGCACACAAGATCGGGCTTGTGCAGATGTGGAGGCACTAGAACACCAAGTTTGATATCACAGGCACGTAGAAATGGAAGCATAATCTCGCGATAGTTCATCAAAAAGAAGGGAAAAAAGTCACTCAATTCGGTACAATTGCGCAAATACATAGGAAATCGGGTGTCTCTCTCAACTATGCTCGAAGGCAAATGGGAAACAGAAAATACAATGTCCAAGTCAGGCGACTTCGGAAGAAGTAAAACACAACATGCTGAGACGCTTCGCTCATGAGTTCCGGGCCCCATTCAAGGCAGATAAGGGGTATCTTTTCTTTCCATATTAATGGCACTTTTGGCCAAGGTTCCCAACATTTCTCCGCAAGAGGGCTTGGGCAGTCAATGAGACAAGTCGGCATTAACGTCATTAGTCAAAAACTACACAGTATCCCTCCGGGTCCAGGACGGTACACGGCCGCGACCGCGAGCAGCAGGTAACAAGAAGGGTCGAAATTAGTCCACACGAACAGAAAGAAGAGAAGGTTCGCAGAAACAAGATATGCTATGCTGAAGGGGTATTGAATGATGACCGGCTGCAAGTCATTAGCGGAACCGGCGCACATCCGGTCCAGTTCTCCCCGCATACAGCTTCTTCTGGGGTGCAGCGCTGGCCACAGCAACATTACGGTTCAAGCGGCTGGTTCTCCACCTCTCATACCAGACCACACGGCTCGCTTCGCGGAGGTCAGAGCGCCATTCGTTGAATACGGCCTCCTTCAGTTTGAGGAAATCACAGTGCTCGGCGTTGTACGGGTCAGCGAACCCCCAGGCAAACTTGCGCCCAACAGGCTCATCGCCAGCCCTAAGTGAATGTGGATCGGGAGACAAGATGGTAAAAGGAATATGCTGAACGACGGCTTGGGAACCGGAAGACTTGCGCGTGTCCTGGCTGCGCTGGGAGGGCGAACGTGGAGACCGGGCCTCTGCACCTTCCTCATTCGCAGCGCTGGCCTCCGCATCCTGTTCGGTATCTTGACCTTGCGCCTCCTCGTCCTCATCATCGCTCTCAGAAGATGTGTACTCTTCCTGGTCGTCCAAAGAAAGGATCTCCAGCGGGTCAATATTGGCTTTCTTCAAGCTATCCCAGACAGCCTTCCTGAGGTACGCCATGTGGGCTGTGGTGATCGTATCGGCCTTGCTGATAACCGGAACAACTGTGGTCTTGCCCACTATGGTTCGCAGGACCTGAACATCAAGACGCTCGTCAAGAACACCAATGACAGGTGTATCGGTTGCCCTGGGGGTTCCCTGCGCAGCCCGCTCTGCAGCCGCTATATTCTGGTCCAAGCGGACTGGATCCAGGATCAAGAAGGTGCAATGGATATGGGTGTCGCGAGCTCCAGGTGACCGAACAACCTTCATTTCCTCACTTAGCGTTTCCTCGAACTTACTTTCCAGGAACCCAGTCACCCCTCGTAGCTGGATGTCAACGATGTTCTTCTCCAGGCCTTGAGAGTCCCAGAGGGTCAGACCGACTCGTTCGCCGTCGATCTCTGTCTCCAGATAGTGGGAAACGTAGCCCTCATTGGCGGGGGATTGGCGAGCTTGGTATGCGATTTCCTCTGGCAAACGGGAGGGGTGCTTATGCGGCGGCAATTCCAAGGACTTCTTGAGGAAATTGAGAAACGAGGTCTTGCCCGAGTTACTTGCGCCGACAACAAGGACACTAGGAGCACATGAGAATTTGACCCCACCGAGCGATTGACTGTAAACAATGCGACTTACTTGTACGGGGTGGGATCCTTGCGCCGACGCAGCCGACGCGGATTGTTGACGGTACTGACAGCACTGCTTGCGTAGCTATAGCGTCCACGGTGTGTCATGCTCTCTGCTCGTGCGTAGGCGTCGCTCGGTTCCGGGGCAACTGGCGTGCTTATCGTACTGCGGGGCACAGCTTGCTGCTGAGATGAGTCGGGCTGGCTTGCAAGTGCAGCAACAGTGTCTCGGCGCTCATCGCCACCAAAGGTCTCAAGAACTGGAGCCGGCGAGAGATCAGGTAGACGCGGGGGTTGTTGATACATAATTGACTCGCGCTGGCGGCGAGCTTCTTCTTCCGCCGTCTGAGCCTTCGGCATCTTCTTTCCGTTCTTGCTTCCGGACGAGCGTCTTTCGCCTAGAATTTCAATAGACTTGGAGCGACGAAGAAAACCCAAAGAAGATGTTCGGCGTTGGTCTTTGGTGTCCGTGACGACAGGAGGGACTTCTGCGGAAGGCTGAGTCCGACCCGGGGTCCGGGGTGCTGGTGAAGCGGTTGCCATTGGTTTTTATTATGGGCGGGCTCTTCCCTACCCTTATCACTCACTGGCTGTAACACAAATTGGGTGGATTTGCCAAAGAAAAGTGGGGACGCAGGGAATGAATCGTGTCTCAGATATAGACGCAACTCTTCTTTTTCGTCCCAGAGGATCAGTTAGTTTAGTGTACCCGGGTTCTTCTTGGGTTCGATCTTGAATAGGAAGGCCCAGAGCTGGTTCAATTGATTTAAATCACCCTAGCCCGAAAGACAAACGAAGTCAGTCCCAGCTCAGAAACAACAATCGGAACTTGACTCCATCAAGACTGAGCTAATGATTGTGCGGTCTTGCGGGATTGTTGAAAGATCATAATATTATTTCGGGTTGTATGATTAACGTACCGAATTTACACGCTTATTCTGGAACCAGTCGCGTGTTCCTCCTCCTTTTTGTCCAGTTGTAGCACAACTGCCTCGATGAGTGAATCGATCCTCGATCAAGCAAGAGAATAAATACTCGACCAAAGTTAGAGTGTCGGTGACCAAAGATGCAATTAAAAACGACACGGCTTTTCAGTAATCACAGAATCGACATGCACAAGCCCAGCAAGCGATTGTCGATCTTAACCCACGTCGCCTGTAGAGAAGCAGCGGGGCTTTAATGGAAAGAACAAACGGGGTTTTAAGTCTGTCTGTCCTTTTTGACTCACGATCCTACCAGGGAGAGTTGAGGAGAAGCCTGCTCACAGAGTCCGACTAAGATGGCGCATACAATTGCGATAAGATCAAATAATATCAGAAGAAGAGAAGGATGAAGAGGGTGGGAACAGAAAGAAACGGCACAAAAAGGATGACGGCGCTGGAGGGCAGATGATGATCGACCAGTGAGAACGGAGAACAGGCAATGCTTTCCTGTCCCAATTGACTCGACCTCTCACTTTCCTGTCACTGTTTGTTGGGAGTCTCAAGAGCTTGCTGAGTTCTCCGATACCCTTTTGTGGTTGTTGTTGTTGTTGTCTTTTTTTTTTAATTTTTTATGCTTTTCTTTTTTGAGGCGAATGTTGTTTTTCCTTATTTCTTTTTTTTTTTCTTCTATAATTTCTTTTGTCGCTGCACCTCGTCGTCTCGTTCAGGCGGAGAAGCAGCTCGGGAAGCTTTTTTGGAGCTGGATGAAATTCAGGGGCAAAACGGCAGCCAGCAGGGGAGCTCGACCTTTCCCATTCTCCCCCACTCAGCACGCTTTCCGAATGTATTAGGTTGCTACTTAGGTTGCTTCTAACTCCCGACTTGGTCTAGGGCCGGACGGCTAAGCTGGAAACTTTGGCTCGCACACTGGAGGGGCAGCCCGTTTAGCGATTTCAGTCCACGTCTCTCCAATGCAGTACGACACCGTGTGCGTTGGTATAACCCCGGGGGGGGGGGGGGGGGTCATAGGGGAGGGGGGCGAGGTCAGCTTATTTGGAATGATATCTGCATCATATCTCTTCTCTGCTTTGTTTCAGTTGGAATGCTAACACCTTACGGAAAATACCAAGGGCAGTCTGGAAAGAAAAAGGCCGATCAAATCCACTGTACCGACGGAGAACGTCCAGATGGAGGGAGCCACAACTGCCTGAATAATGAATGATCTTCCCAAACACCCATATCTCAACGCTCGTGCAGTAACTAACTCCTA